ATTTTGATATTGTTCCAATCGCACTCTTCCTTCACAATAGGAATGCTAGCAAGACGAATGGAAGAAGGATACCAACGAACATGCCAGTGTCTGTCGCTTTGGGATTAATAGGTTCTTTTTGGACTTTAAGGTCAAATTGAGAGTTGAGTTGGAGAGGAATGATGGTATTAACAGTAGGAGGATCGGATTCGACATCAACCTCCATTGTTTTGTTTTTCTTAGGGCCACCACTGAAAAGAAGGCCATAATATTTGAAGGTGGAAGTAACAGAAGACATGATGGTAGAAATTCCTTGTAAGAAAATTTTACTGAGAAGAATGGGAATTTGAAATAGGGTTCTAAGGAAATTCGAAGAAGAAGAGGAGTTTGTAAAAGTGAAAAATAAAACTGAAGAGTAGTGGAGAAGTTTATAAGCGGCATAATTCATGGTCATGATTACCTTGAAAATTGGTGAAAATATTTTCCAAATCACAAGTTAACATGTGTTTGGTCATTAAATGCGAAGAGACGTGTGTCCTTTCAAGTGTTAGAAACAATTCAAAAACTTACCCGCTAAGCAAAGAAGTTTTATCTACTTCCCGGTAACACTAAAGTATTGTCACCGAAAAGTAGAGGGACTATCTGTATGAAGTAAAATTGGTTAACAACAAGTGGATGAATGACGAGGTGATCATGTATATCTGAAGACAGGTAATATGTGAGTCAACAAATGATTGACATCAGATACAAACACGAGTTCAGTGCTGTGTAAATTCCGAAGGTCTGTGAACCAGTAACAAAGATTTGAAAGAAAGACATCAGTTGGAAAGATAGTCTTCAATGAGTAGCCGTTACAAAGAATCTCTGTATTAATAGTCAACCGTTATGGAGCCATCAATATCGGTTTTATTCTCATTCAAGAGGAGCTTGATTTGGGGATCTTGTCTCCCTAAATAAAGCTATAAATAGGAGAATTAGTATCCATTGTAGGATACGAAAAACCATCTGCACTCAAAGGCTATAATTTGCTCTCATATTATTAAGTTACTTGCTTTTCTCTTGTTCCTAACATTGTTCTTATTCTTGCTTCCGGAGAGACTCATCATATAGCCAGGCTTGTATTTCCTTTAAGTTATTTTATATTCTTGTTTCTTTTCTTACTTATTTTATACTTTAGAATAAAATTAATTCATGTGTCTATAAATCACGTTACAAATTCAGCTGTATCGTTTTATGGGCAAACAATATGACAATAAATTTTTGAAGCTTGTCACTTTAAATATACCATAACATTTGTGTGACTATAAACTCAATAAGAGTAAAATTGAAAATTTAAGTTAGATTTATTCTTATGTCAAATTTCGAAAGCTGTCATTTTTATTAAAACGGCTACAAAATATTGTTACATAAATTAAAACAGAGTAAGCACGAGTAAATATAAGGAGAACAAAGGACAGATGAGAAATATAGAAGAAGTAATTTATCAGAAGATAGACCATTATATTGGTCATGATCAGGATTTGGGATCTTCTCTTTTCATTTTCATTTTTTCAATATTTTAAAAAAAAAATTATAGTCCCATAAAAAATGGAGAGAGGATGGTATAAAATGAGAATGTGATATACCTAAAAATGATCCGACACTCCCTCTGTGCCATCCTTTTCCCTAATTAAACAGCGTTATGTTGCTATGGGTCTTTCGTCAGTGCCAACCATTTTGGTAAATACAGTGGTCCAATCTTCTTCGGTTTTTAACTCAAATCGAGAAATTTAATTCTAGAAGTTAAAATTAGAGTATGGACACTTATTCTTATTTATGGTAAGTGATTATAAAACATATTTTACATCTATTATTGATTTGTTATAAACACAAGATACAAATAAATATAAAAGTTTATCTACAGCCAATATTTACGTCATATTTAATTTACTGTATACGGTTCCACAAGTATAGTATAATTCCAAATCAAATTAATATATTAAAGTAGGTCCATATCAGAAACTTGTGGCAGAAATAACTCGAAAACAACAGCCTTACAAACATCCCAGCTAGCTCTACCTTTCCATTTTTCAACAGGTAACAAAATACCCCCTCTCTGTTAGAGGTAAAATCAGATTGCTAAATTATTATGCATTGTTATTCTCCTTCTTCATTCATATCGTCGTTCTCTTAGTCAAAGACGACGACGACGAGGAGGTTCATCATCGCTTTCCAGGGGACGAATTCTAGCCAAAATGTTCATTCAACCTCCTTTCAAGATCTTAGAAATCAATGTGATTTCAGCCCAAGATTTACCCCCCGTGTCGAAAATGTTACGTACCTTTGCCGTTGCATACATACATCCTGACCATAGATTAACAACTAGGGTTGATCACAACGGCAAAACAAACCCTACATGGAATTATAAGATGGTTTTTCGTGTGGATGACAAGTTTCTTAATTCTGAATCAGCTTCGGTCACGTTTGAGATTTATAACGTTGCATGGTTACGTGATCTCCCTATTGGTACTACGCACCTTATGATAAATAGCTTTTTTCCTCCTCTTTCATCCAAAAATCCAACAATGAGATCTACTACTCTACATATTCGTCGTCCAAGTGGTCATTTACAAGGGCTTCTTTATGTTAGTGTTCAATTGATTGACACTAACCCTCTAGAAATTCTCCCTTCTGGAAGTGAATTAAGCTCTTCTATATGTACAAGCCATGTCTCATCAAAAGATGAAAAAAGTATTAGTGACGAAAAATTTGAAAGCATCTCGACTATTTCCAAAGGTCATGACACGTTGTACGAAGAAGACATAACCAAGAATATTAATTACGTGGTGGAGAATCGCGAGGAGAATAAAAGTCCAAAAAGGGGAATATTGCAACGTTTACGTAGTAAACGAATAATGTCTAATAACAGTTCAGATTTTTCACCAAATCAAAAGATGAGAAGGACACCAACTGTGTCATTTTGTTCAGGGGTGCAACCTATACCTTCAATTGTGGCAGAAGATATGAAGAAAGGATTGTATCACACAGGGGAAGGAATAGAATATGGAAGTTCTGTATTCGAGAACTGGACTGTACCAGGTGACAAAGATGAAGAAATCCAATCAATGCGATCGAAAAGCTTGACGTGGGGCTCAGATGATCAAATTCATATGCAAGAACATGTTGAAATTAAGAAGAAATCGCGACCAAGAAGACATGATTCAGATGGGGGAGGATTATTTTCATGTTTTGGAAAAGCATATGGTTTTGAATTCAAGCTTATTTGTGGGTCAAGACGCACCAAGAAGAAGAAGAGAGACATAAAGCTTGAACGCCAGAAGAGTTTTCCTTATAATAACAATTATGAGGATAACTTACGCAGGTTTTACATATAATTAATTTACTTTCAATTTTTGTTGAGAGTAATTCTCAGTCTTCAAGCTATGTTTAAAATGGTTTAGGGTATCCATAACCATATGATGATGATTTCTTAAATTTTACGAACATTTAGAAGGAATAAACAAAGTAAAGATCTTTATGCATATGTACAAGAAAGTGATTCTTATGATGTAGGTTTCAATTTATATGTATAAATTTAATGTTGAATTACTCTGATATAGATAGAAATATCTTTAGATATGTACTGGCATATTAGTTGTACTTGAAATCCTTTTTCCTTGCCCAGTCTTGATTTAGCACGTATTTTCATCATGCAACATCGAGAAATCCTAGACATTGTAGAATATTAATGCACCTTATGACCCCTATTTGACCAATTGTTTTCTAGTATCGCACAAAATAATTGTAAAGCTTTTTGTAATGCACTTCGTTTAATTAGTGTGGTTCCTGAAAGGAGGAAAGAAGAAAGAGAAACTAGTTGGTTACTTCTCTTAAGTGGAATAATATCATGATGATATTTTGTTTATTAAGAGGAATGATGGACGAAGCGGAACTCAAACCTGGAAAACTACATGTGTTTATGACTGAAAATACTTTTGTGGAAAAATAATTTATACACTGTACAAATTTCAAAAGTCATTTTTCGTTTTGATATTCTCTGTCATGTCTAATCTAACATACATAAAATGGTGCGAGGGGAGTAACTATTACTCTGAAATTGTATTACCAGTCCATCAACCAAATTCAAATTTACAAATAAGAGCACTTCACTTGGTGATCCCAGGAAAAGTCTCAGAAAATCAAAATAAAAAAAATAATTTAAATCTATTACATCCAATATCTAGTGCTAACTACATAGCCTATGTATTATGTGTCTAGCCTTCCTAGCACGTTTTGAATTCTTTATCATGTCCATCCTTTCTCTAATTACACTTTGAATCTGTTGGATTATGATATTGGTCTGTACAGTAGAATCTCTACATATTTTCCAGTTCCTTGCCTGCCAAATTGTGTATACACCTACTCCATGTACTGCTGCAACAATGCTCTTCTTTGTTATAGTCCATCTCCTACTTTGTATTCTACTTAAGGATTGTAAAACATCCTGTTGCTGAAGTCTAATGCCACTCCATTGATTTAACATCTCCCATAGTTGTGCATACCACCCACATTTAGAAAATAGATGTGTTGCACTATCTTTTCCATTCCAGTTCCATCACACAGTACACACATAGCATTATCATATTGTATCCCCATTGTCATCATCCTTTCCTTTGTCAACAGTCTACCTTGTACATCCATCCACAGGATGAACCTATGTTTTGGTATACTGATTTTGTTCCAAACTAGCTCTATAATTTCCATTTTTGATGTGTCCCCAATCAGTTTTAGATATCCTTGCATTACTGAATAGTTACCATTTGTAGTCAGGCTATAAATTCCATTCCTATACCAGTTCACCATATACAACTTCAGTTTATTTAACCTTTTCCAGTACCAGCTACTATCAGCCTGAGGTATATGGTTCCAAAAATCCACTCCATTGTTCATATAAAGTCCATGAACCCATTTGACCCATAGGTTATCAGCTTTTTCCATTATCAACCATATCATTTTCCCCACAGAAGTTTTATTCTAGTTTCTGCATCCTTTTACATTTAGCCCCCCCCGCTTCTTAGGTTTATAGATTTTCTCTGAAGCTACTAAAGACATTTTCTTCTTTTCCTCTGAGCTTCCCCGTAAAAACTCCCGACACTTTCTATCTACCTCATTCAGTATACTTTGAGGCAACACAAATACTTCACCCCAAAAATTATGAACTAAGAACAGGACATAATTTATTACCTGCAGCTTTCCTGCATAGGATAGATATCTTACAGAAGTGGCTCTAATTTTTTCTATAATCTTCACTATCAACTGATGGCACTCCATTTTATTCCACTTCTTGGGTGATAGGGGAAGACCCAAGTATCTTATAGGAATGGTTTCTATGGTGAATCCAGTCATCTGAACTAATCTTTCCTTTGTCTCCTCATTATTTCCTGCTATGAATATGTGTGACTTATCAAAATTTGCCACCACCCAGATGCCTCAGAAAAATGGTTCAATGCTTCCATTACCCTCTTCACCGAGCTACTATTTACTGTACAGAAAATCATTAAATCATCAGCAAACACCAAATGTGTAAGCCTCTGTCTTTTACACATTGGTTGATAATTGAAATATGGAAGTTGACTCATCCTATTTAGAATTCTTGAAAGGTACTCCATGACCATGACACTTGAAAGATATTCCATGACCATTACAAACAACAATGGAGAGATTGGATCCCCTTGACGCAGTCCCCTCTTTCCTTCAAAATACCCATGCCCTATACCATTTACTTTTACTGAGAAAGTAGTAGTGGTTACACATGTCATAACTAACTGTATGAAGCTGTTAGGGAAACCAAATCCTAACATCATTTCTGCCAAGAAATCCCATCCAAGCATGTCATAGGCTTTCCTTAAGTCTATCTTCATTAAGCACCTAGGAGTAGTCTTCCTTTGATAGTGTCTCAACAAGTCATGGCATATGAGGACATTATGCGCCAAAGATTTTCCTTGCACAAATGCCGCCTGTGATTCATTCACAGGCTATGGCAATACTAGCTTTAGTTTTTTACATATCATCCTTGAAATGCACTTATACACCACATTACAACATGAAATAGGCCTAAACTGGGCAGCATTTAAAGGGTTGGCAACTTTTGGAATCAATGTAATTATAGTGGCATTAATTTGTTTAAGGAGTTTTCCATTGCTGAGAAGTTCCAAGACTGCTTCAGTCACATCTTCACCCATAAATATCCCAAGTTTCCTTGAAAAAACCACTTCCAAAACCATCCGGACCTGGACTTTTATTCACATTGATGCTCCACATATCTTCCTTTACTTCTTTACCAGTATAAGGTCTCAACAAATACATATGTTGATTAGAAGTCAACCTGTAACCATTCTACAAGAACCACTGGCTTACACCCCCTCTGCATTCTCCCTTTTCACGCAACAACTGCTTATAGTAATCAACAAAAATACTTGCTATTTTATCTGGTTCATATTGCATTTGATCATTGTGGTCCTGTAATTGTGTAACTGCCTGCATAAGCTTCCTGTTAATCTTCACCTGTTAATCTCAGTCCAGAGAATAGAGGGAATATTTTTAATGTTTATGTTTATATAATCCTTTCTATTTCTTGGCTTGCTAAGTGTGTACATCCTTTTCCTCGTGTACAAAGAGAACCACAAAGTCATATAGCTGTATAGTATATATTGAGCGGTTGTGTTGCTATAAATATTCCTTGAACCACCTAACAATAACAACAATAACATACCCTACCCAGTATTATTCCACATCGTGGGTTCTGGGGAGGGTAGTATGTACGCAGACTTTACCCCTACCTTGTGAGGATAGAGAGGTTGTTTCCAATTGACCCTCGGCTCAGGCAAGCATAAACACCACATTAATAAAAATATAGACAAGAAGGAACAGTACCAAAAAGGCATATAAAAGCAGAATAAAAACAACAAGATAATAAGGTGATCAACAATGAAAGAAAACAACGGTTAGTCATAAAAACCTATTTCCAACAGAAAGCGAGACTGTGTGCCAATATTACTGTTATGAACACTCTAGACTACCTACTCAACTACCTAATCCTCGATCTCCATACCTTCCTATCAAGGATCATGTCCTCGGTTAGCTGAAGCTGCGCCATGTCTTGCCTTATCACCTTTCCTCACCTCTTCTTTGGCCTACCTCTACCTCGTCGTAGGCCCTTTAATGTCAACCTCTCACACCTCCTCACCGGGACGTCTGTGTTTCTCCTTCTCACATGACCAAATCACCTAAGCCGCGTTTTCCGCATCTTGTCCTCCTTGAACCACCCTCTTCTCGAATTTACTTTAGGTTTTGGGCCACCTACCTTTGAATTTGAAGTGACTGCGGCTGTATTGTGTATTGACTACAAATGTGGCTCATCAAGATTAAAACGTAAAAAAGGAAATACTAATTGCTGAGATGAGCTAAAAAAATATTAGTACTATGTACTATATATCATAGACAAACACATTTAGTACTCGATTATGAGCTCATAGTCCTCTAGAGTAATACAGTACACCCACTATAATACCACTCAAAGTACTCTTAGTGCATTTATCAAGATTATATTTCTTTATTTATTATGACTTGGTTGATCCAACTCAAGGAAGAATGCCATTTTATTATAGCGGAAGGAAAATCCTTTCCTGTGTTTCACTGGACACCTACCTTCAGTTTGTTTTTTCTTTCTGCTCATTTATGCAGTTAATTAACCAATTAAGCTACTATTTAGGTAACAATGAAAACTTCGTAGCGCGCTACTTTTCTTGCCACATTTCTTAAAAGGAAAGAGAAGAATGTAAAGCAATTTCTCCTAACTAAACTCTAGCTTGAAATTTTCATAGATTCAAGCTATGCGTGGAAAAATGGAATATCATTAGTGAAAGCTGGCGAATTAAAAAGTAAAATCAAGATGAGAAAATAGTATTAGTCGACCAGCAACAGAAGTTATTTGCCGAAGGCCATCAGTATATGTTTCCATTCATATCTGAGTAAGTTAATAGCCGGATTATCTTTTAGACTTTAAAAAAAATAATGCCACTACCTGTAATTTAGTTTCAATTCTGAGGAAAGATGAAATTATAATTCTTAGAATAATGAGTACATAATATGATCTTGTTTTTGGGGAGGATCCATTAAATGGACCAACGAAGCACTGTCGGGTCATAGCCCTTGATCCCATGTCTTACTTATAAAAAAAGGCATGAACTTATTAGCACATATGACTTGCTTGCATACCTCGGAGGTTCAAATTTAAGCTGGTATTAAAAGGAACCGCTTTTAGCATACAAGACTTTCTTATATACAGACTTTCCGTACAGCCAAGAAAGGAATACACTTTACAAAGTATCTGCTTAACTTGTAAATCATGAGCATAGTAGAGGTCTTTGCAGTTCATATCATTCATTCTGATTTGAGACGCTAGTAAATTCCAAACAAGTAGAGGTGATAATCTGCTACAATAACTTTTATTTGGTATTACTATATGTACGGGAAGAAACTCTTCGTAGGAGGTGTGCTTCTTGTATTTATATTTTAGTTTACTGTTGGATTAGGAAATCTTCTGAGATAAATAACTGTGTTACGTTGATGCAGCTATGCTTTATAAATGGTAAATTCTTACCCACACCGGGTCGGTGCGGGTAAGTTTTTACCTTTTATAAATATTAACTTTGGTGATTAATAAAATGTTACTTTATAAAAAAAATTATACTGCATTGATAGACTAAAATTTTGTTATACTTTGGATGTATATAAAGTAATTTTTTCCCAAACTACTTGTTTTCATGAGTAGTCCAATCACGCAACAACCACAATTAAATTAGTCGCCGAGATGTGTGATAGGATGAATATGATGTCTCTGTCTTGATCAAAAGTCTCAGATAGAACTCGAGGAATGAAGAAGATTCTAATAGGAAAGGTTTAAATTTGCATGGTGCAAAAGTGAATAGTTAAACCAGTAAATTCAAGATACCACATAGTTAAAAAAATATAAAATTAAACTTGCGTGGTGGAGAAGAAAGAACAACCTTAAACCAACGTCAGTCGAGAAAAGTAACAACGGTCCAAAAGAAACAAAACCATAAATAATCCCTCAAACTCCTCGTTGCCATGCAAACTGAACAAATCCCAAAAAACCATTGATCATTCTCTTTCTCCCAAACCCACCACCACCCTCCCTCTCTTGATGCCAATTGTCACTACAAGCTGGTCGTCTCCGCCACGGACGACGGCGGCACCGTAGAATAATCAAAATCATGGAATCCAACATCCAAACACCGCCACCTTCCTCCACCATCACCGCCGACCACTCGTCCTCTCTCTTCCCCCAGCCTCTTTCCCCTCACCCCCCTTCAGCTTCAAACAACACCAACCACATTCTCGAAATTACCCTCATCTCTGCCCAAGACTTATCCCCCGTCTGCAAATCCCTCCGCACCTACGCCCTCACATGGGTCAACCCAAACCGCAAACGCACAACCCGGGTCGACAATCAAGGCCACAGCAACCCCACCTGGAATGACAAGTTCTCTTTCCGTGTTGACGATGAGTTTCTCAACTCCGAGTCCTCCGCCGTCCACGTCGAAATTTACACCGTTTCTTGGTTTCGTGATATTCTTGTAGGCACTGTTAAAGTTCTTCTCAATAATCTCATTAACCCTTTTGATAGAAGCAAGAAATTTGTGGCTCTTCAAATCCGTCGGCCTTCGGGTAACCCGCAAGGAATACTCAATTTGGGTGTGGCGCTCATTGATAAGTCCAAACGGAGCATGCCGCTTTTTAACCAAATTACGCCTTTGTCCTTGGATCATAGAGACATTTTAGACAGGAAAATTAATGATATTAATGCTCAAGATCAAATGATCAACGAAAACTTTCCAGAAGATGAAGAGAAATTGCAAATTAACAATAAAATTCAGCTGTGGCAATCGCAGAATTTAGGCTATTCTGACGTCAACACCGGAGAATTTCCTAACCAAGCGGGCTCAATTTGTAATGGGTCAATGGTGAACGGTTCGATAGTAAACGGGTCGGAACTGTGCTCCGACATTGGGCCGTCGGCTTCCATTGTGGCAGCGGAGATAGCAAAGAAGCTGCAACCTCTGCCGCCACCGCGGGTGCCGTCCAAAGAATTGAATAAGGAATATTCTGGGGAAGGGGAAGACGGAGAGAGCTCAATATTGGAGGAGTTGACGGCGGAGGAAGCGTACGCTAAAGGGTTGGCATTAAGTACGGAAGGAAGGAAGAAGGAGGCGGCGGCACCGGAGAAATGTCAACGGGGAAGCGGCGGACACCCACGGCGGAACACCGACGGAGGACTGTATTCTTGCTTTGGAAATGCATATTGTTTTGAGTTCACCATTGTTTGTGGGGCAAGTAACAACAACAATCAGGGGAATCGTAGAGTTAATAACAGTAATAGTTCTGGCAAGGGCAGAAAGAAGTTGTCTACTGATATAAATTCAGCTTAATGTTGTACGTATTGATGTACCTTTTTGTATAGAGTTTGTATTTAACAACTTACCCGCACACAATACTAATTTAATGAATGCAAAATATGTGTTTTTTATATATACATTTGTCTCTTGATAACAAGAAGATGAAGAGAAATTGCAAATAATAAACAATATATACGTTTGTCACCTAGTTAAACACATGATGTGGATAAAGTATATATGGAATTTGTATTGTGTGCTGACCGCATATAGAATTCTTACATTATAAAGAATTCTTAGGTTATCAAGTCAGGCTGATCTACAAAATGTAACTATCCATATCAAATATCATAAAATGACCTGAAAAATAGAATGATAACATGTTATAGCTAAGGTTGGCAAGTGAGTCGGTTAGGGCCGGGACAGACCCAGACCCGTGAGCCCATTAGGGTAGTGGGTCTAAATGGGCCTAACCGTTTAAGCCCGGGATCAGGGGTGGGCCTGCTAAGTGGGCCGGTTAAGCCAAAAAGACCGTTAGAACCGGACCGTTTTGTCACGACCCGATTTTTTCAACACCCGAGAATCGTGATGGCGCCTACTAGTGAAAGCTAGGCAAGCCAATCAACTAAATTATTTACCTTATTTCCACTTTAAATCCGTTAACAACTAAGAACCAACAATTAATAAACAACATAATTTAATAAGCGAAAGACTAAATTTCAAGTTTTAATAATTTAAGAAAGATGCCAATACCAATCCATACAAGAACTACCCAAGACTTATGTCACAACTTCACAGACTGTCTAGGAATACTACAAATAAAAGTCTGAAAGATTTATTACAATACTGTCTCTGAAATATGAGAAGAAATAGACTAAAAGGATAGGAGAAGACGCTAAGGCCTGTGGAAGCCTGCAGAACTACCTCGGAATCTCCGACTGGACTGAAGGCAGCCACCCAAGCTAAGGTCCGAATGCTGTTGCTTTGGGATCTGCACACAGTGCAGAGTGTAGTATCAGCACAACCGACCCCATGTGCTGGTAAGTGCCTAGCCTAACCTCGGCGAAGTTGTGACGAGGCTAGGACCAGACTACTAAATAAACATGTGCAGTTGTTTCATATACAGCGGAAAGATAGTAACAGGTATGTACAGTTAAGAATGAGAGAGGGAAACATGCTGCAAGGAAACATCAAATGATAACAGAAAGACAACATGTAAATATAAGGGACGCCATAACTCAATTATCAACAAGAATTAGAAATCAAACAAGTGCATGGCATCACCCTTCGTGCTTTTACTCTCATCCTAACCATAAAATAAACATAAACTGAACGACATCACCCTTCCTGCTTTTACTCTCATCCTTACCATAAAATAAATATAATCGGCACAGAATGGTACATCGTGCGGCACGACATCACCCTTCGTGTTTTACACTCTTCCTCACATTACACGACATCACCCTTCGTACTTTACACTCTTCCTCACCCAAACAACAAATACAACCAATAAGGGCAAGGAAATAATGAATCATAATAAAATTCTGGCAAGGGAACAATATCAAAGCAACAACATCCCGCCAAGGGAACAATATTAAAAGCAACAACGTCCCGGCAAGGGAACAATACCATAATCCTCTTCTCTTTTTCACATTTACTCCACAACTCGATTCATAATTTGACCCAATGCTCTATAAGGTTCAATTGCTAGTTATACTTCCACAAATCACTTTACAACTTGAACCAACACTCTTTAATGTTCAAATATCAATATTCTTTACACAAACCTTACTCAACAATAGCAATCATCACATTAGGCATGAACAATACAAATGGAGTCACATTAATCATAACATAAGACTCACGGGCATGCTTGACACCAACGTATAGATACTCGTCACCATGCCTATACGTCGTACTCGAAAAATAACACATAGCAAATAGGACACAACTCCTAATCCCCCAAGAGAACGTTAGACCAAACACTTACCTCGATACCACAAACACAACTCAAACCTGAACTATCACTTTACCTCTTGATTCCACCACCAACTCGCTCGTATCTAGCCACAAGTTACTTAAATATAATAATAAATGCTAAATGAATCCATTCTAATGCATGAAAATAAGTTTTCTAAAGTTTTTCCCAAAAAGTCAAAAATCGACCCTGAGCCCGCTGGTCCAAACCCGAAATTCGGACCAAAACCCGATTACCACTACAAGAAAAAAAGTTTTTAGCTGTAACGACCCGAACCGTCGTTTCCTGTATTTTCGTCCCGTATTCCCCGTTAAATGCTTATTCATGTTTCAATATGTGTACTTGGTGAATTTGAGTCAATTCGGATCGAGTTTGGTATGAAATGGGACAATTAGTCTCTTTAAGGAAGAATTAGTTTGGAAAAGTCAACCGGACGTTGACTTGTGAGTTAGAGGGCTCGGAATTGAATTCCGATGATTCGGTTAGTTTCGGGGGATGATTTAAGGCCTAGGAGCGCAATCGGAATTAATTTTGGAGGTCCGGTGAAGAAATTAGCTCATTTTGGCGAAGTTAGTATTTTGGCGATTTCCGATTGATAGGTGAAATTTTGATCCGATGGTCGGAATGGAATTTCGAGAATTTCTGTAGCTTCGTTATGGCATTTTGGACTTGTGTGCAAAATTTGAAGTCAATCGGACGTGATTTGATAGGTTTCGGCATCGGAAATAGAAGTTGGAAATTCTAAAGTTCATAAAACTTGGATTGGAGGTTGATTCGTGATTTTAGCATTGTTTGATGTGATTTGAGGCCTCGAACAAGTCCGTAATGTATTTTGGGACTGGTTGGTTTTATTGGTCGGGGTCCCGGGGGTCTCGGGTGTGTTTCCGATGCCCAACGGGTCATTTTTGGAAGATTTTTGTCGTTTTGAGCATAAATGTAATGATCTAAAGGTTCATTTTTAGTTCTAGAGATCCAAATTTGATTTCGAGACTTCCAGAATTTAAATCATGAATTATAGGACTGATCTGGAAATGTTGGTTTAATTTCATCAAGTCACGATTGAGTTTTTGACGTGAAATGTGAGTTAATTGTTTAACGAGCGAAATGGGTATTGAACTGTGCAAACAAGCTCCGAATTGAGTTTCGATTGAAGGGTTGTGTTCGTATTATTATTTGTGACTCATAGGAATAATAATCGTCTAATTCCGAGTTCGTATGATGGAGTTAGAACCATTTTAGTGAAAAATGGCTGTGCTACAAATTTCTTAAAAGCTGCTGTATTTTCTGCAGCAGTGAACAGTACCCGCGCGTGAACAGTAACCGCGCGGGTGAACAGTGAACAATGACCTCACGCGCATGAGCAGTGCCCCCGCGTGAACAATACCGAAAATTTCTGGACAGATTTAATGTCCAACAGTCCGAGTTTGGTCATTTTTTTGACTTCCAAGCTCGGATTTTGGGCGATTTTTAGCAAGAAATCTTGGGAAATCTTGAGGTAAGTCACTTGTGATTATTTCTACTCCATAATATTGAATTATCATCGAATAATCCGACTAGATTACATGTTTTTGAGGAGTAAATTGAAGATTTAGGCCTAGGGATTTGAAAATAAGATTTGAAGATTTGAGGGGTCATTTGAACTCCGATTTTGGTAAATTTTATATGTACGGACTCGTGCCGAGACGAGGAATTCGGTGATGTGACTTTAGTAATTTTTCGAGAAGTGGGCCCGGGGCTCGAGTTTTGCGAATTTCGTGAATTTCGATNTATGTTTTTGAGGAGTAAATTGAAGATTTAGGCATACAACAACAACAACAACAACAACAACAACAACCCAGTGTAATCCCACAAGTGGGGTCTGGG